AAAAAAAAAAAAAGTTAATCTCATAGTAGTAAAGAGTAGAATAGTGCTTACCAGTGGCTGGAGATAGGAGGGAGCAGGCAAGAAGGGTTAGAGATTGGTCCAGGGGTCCAAAGTTACAGTTAGACAGGAGGAATAAATTATGCTGTTACATTGCACAGTAGGGTAACTATGGTTAACAATATTGTATTGTATATTTTTAAAAGAGCTAAAACAATTTTGAATGTTCTCATACAAAGAGATGGTAAATAAATGAGATGGACATGCGAAATAGCCTGATTTTGTCACCATAGAATGTACACATGTATCAGCCGGGCATGGTGGCTTACACCTGTAATCCTAGCACTTTGGGGGGCCGAGGCAGGCAGATCACCTGAGGTCAGGAGTTCAAGACCAGCCTGGTCAATATGGTGAAACCCCGTCTCTACTAAAAATACAAAAATTAGCCAGACTTGGTGGCAGGTGCCTGTAATCCCAGCTACTCGGGAGGCTGAGGCAGGAGAATCACTTGGACCTGGGAAGTAGAGATTGCAGGGGGCAGAGATCGTGCCACTGCACTCTAGCCTGGGTAACAGAGTAAGACTCCATCTCAAAAAAAAAAAAAAAAATGAATGTATACATGTATCAAAACATCACACCATCCTCCATACATATGTACAATTATTATGTTAATTAAAAGCAAAGTTTAAAAAAATAATTTGAAGCCAGCGGTATTGAATTTAGTAAGGCCCAAGCCTGTCTCAAGGCAGTGGGAAATTCAGGTCTCCTGATATGTGAGGCCAGGAGAGAAGCTGCAGGAAGAAACAGCGGGCTGAAGTGATATGGGAAATTTTCTCCTGGTTGGCGAGGTCCTATTTTTTCTTCTTCCAGCTATTTTGAAATATACAATAGATTTTTATAAATCATAGTTACATTACTGTGAGAGGTTCTTAATACAATAGACTATTATAGTAGAACAGACTATTTTTCTGCTATGTAACGGTCTTTTTTTTAAGAGACAGGGTCTCGCTCTGTCACCCCCACTGGAGTGCAGTGGCACAATCCTATTATAGATCACTGCAACTTCAAACTCTTGGCCTCAAGTGATCCCACTGCCTTGGCCTCCCAAAGCACTGGGATTATAGGCATGAGTCACCTATGCCTGGCCTGGAGTTCTTTAAAATATGTTTGTAGTTGAAAACAAAAATATGTTTGTAGTTGAAAAGAAGTAGTTATAACATCTTCTGATGAGGTATTCAATGTATATAGAGTAATATATAAGACAACTGCAATACAAAGAATTGAGGCTAAAGGGACCAATATGGTAGGAATGTTTCTATATTCTACTTGAAGTGGCAGAAGTATTTATTCTAACTAAACTATGCAAAGTTAAATTTTTATATTGTAACCTCTAGGGCAACCAAAAATATACAAAGAGATATAGTCAAAATGCAATAGATCAAATGGGATACAAAAAAAGTTTCAAAAGAAGGCAGAAAAGGAGAAGGAGAGGAACAAAAAAAAATTAGGGGACAAGAAAACAAATAATGAAATAGTAGACTTCAAACATATCAGTAATTACATTAAATGTAAGTGGGCTAAACAAACTAATTAAAAAGTTTGTCAAAATGGAGAAAAAACACAAACCAAATATATGCTGTCAACAAGAAATTCACTTCAAATGTAAAAATATAAGTAGATTCAAAGTAAAAGTATGGACTCTGGGCTTTCAGCTCAGAGGAAGTCAAAGTGCAACCTTCTTCTGTCATGCAGCATCTGATTTCGTCTAACACCAGCTGCCTCCTCCATGCCATTCAGGTTCAAGCACACCAAGATGAAAGTTGTATACCTGAGGTACACTGGTGGGGAAGTCAGTGTCATGCCTGCCCTGACCCCTGAGATCAACTCCATGGATCTGTCTCCAAATAAATGTTGGTGATGACATTGCCAAGAAAGCTAGTGACTGGAAGACCCTAAGCATTACAGTGAAATGAACCATTCAGAACACGCAGGCTCAGATGGAGGTGGTACATTCTGCCTCTGCACTAACATCAAAGTTCTCCAAGAATCACTCTGAGACAGAAAGCAGCAAAAAATAAAATAAAATAAAACAAAATAAAATAAAATGAATAAATAAAAGTAAGCAGGGTGGAAATATCATTTCTGTTGCAATTGTCAGCATCTCCCAATGCAGCACTGACATTTAGCTAGAGAACTCTCTGGAACCCTTAAAGAGCTCCTGGAGACTGTCCACCAACTGGTGGACTGCACTATTGATGGCTACCACCCTTGTGGCATCATAGATGACATCGACAATGGC